GCCAAGGTTCTCCGTGAGCTCACGAGGCCTTCGTTATTGAACATTTTGATCCTCCATCTCACTTTTCCCCATTGCTCTTTCCCCTCAAGTCTCCATCTAGAACTCCTGGCCATTCCCCCAACTCCTCACCCGCCCTGTCTCTTTTTTGAGCGTTTGTTTATGATGCTGATGCCCAAAAAGGTTTGTTTTTCTCATTCACCTGGATCACCTCAACTCCTATGCCAGGTCTCAGTATAGACATTACATCCTATCAGCAGGGGTCCCAAGCACTACTTTTTTTTTAATGGATGTATTTGTCCATATTATTTTATTTTATTTTATTTTATTTATTCATTTATTTATTTTAATTTGACAATAGAGAGACAGACAGACAGACAGAGAGTGAGAGAGAGAGAGAGAGAAAGAAAGTGAGAAAGCAAGCCGGGACTTGAACCGTGGTCAACCATATGGGAATGTCCAGCACCTTGGCCACCACAGCATCTGCTGGCTCCACAAAGCACTAATTATAAAAGGTTATATTGGGCATGTGTGTGTGCATGCCCAAGATCCCGAGAAGAGAATGGAGGAGAAGGGATTGCGGCGTGACCATCCCCTCTCGGGGGTGATTTCTCGCTTTCTATCTCTCTGTCTCTCTCTGTCTGTCTGGCGAGTGCACATGCCCCATAGCAAAAACCTCTCAAAAAAAAATAAAAAAAGGTTATATGTACCTGTTTATTCAGCCACATTGTGATTTATTTGTTTCATCAAGGTCCAGCAAAGAGCCTGGCACATGGTAGTTGCCTAATGTTTGCTAAGTGAATGTAGGTTTTTTTTTTTTTTTTTTTTTTTTTTGTAATTCAGAATTTGTTTTGACTAATGCATGCACAAAGCTTAAAAATGTAAAGAATAAGAAGTCTAGGATTATCCCCATGCACAGCAGTTAAGTACTAGACTGAGGAAGCTGCGTCTCAAATTGCTGACCCAGCCCTGCATCCCATATGTTCAAGTCCCAGCTCTGGCAGTAGCACACAGGGAGCACATGTGCTCAGGATCCTGAAGGATGAAGAATTGAACAAAAAAGAATTGCTGGGGCCAGCAGGTGGCATAATGGCTATGTCACTGGACTCCCATGTAGTCGACCGCGGTTCACATCCTGGTCCCGGTGGCTTAAACTCACGCCGGGCGCATGTGTGTGCGTACCCAAGATCCCAAGAGGAGAATGGAGGGGAAGGGATTGTGGAGTGGCCATACCCCCTGGGAGGTGATTTCTTGCTTTCTGTCTCTCTCTGTCTTTCTCACAAGTGCATGTGCTCTGTAGAAGTAGAAAAAACCTCTTCAAAAAGAAAAAAAAAAAAAAAAGGAACAGTAAGAAACCAGGCCCCTTTGGGGGTGAGTGCTTTCTCTCTGTCTCTGTCTTTCTCTCTCAAGTGCACGCATGTGCCCTTTAGCATTAAAAAAAGAAGAAAAAGAAATGTTTCTAAAGTGACAAGTATATTTCCTCCTCCGACTCATTCAGAATTTCAGTTCTTCCAAATTCCTTTCTTAGACACAACCACTGTTACGGTCTGCACAGCCCCACACAGAGAGGTTTCTCTCTGTTCCTTTGTGTAGGTGTGCAGTTCCTGCATGTATTCTACTGGCACCTTTGCTTTCCACTAATGCTATAAATCAGATATTTTAATTTTTAAAAATATATAAAGTACAATTATTCTTATTCTGCACTAATAGAGTTTTATTCGGGCACACGGCCACCCAGATTGAAACGGTTCTCCCTTGGGACTCCCTGTGTTCAAGTGACTAAGTTCTGGCCACAAAAATGAAGCAGATTTCACGTCTGCTTGTAAGTTTTACAGTTAAAGGAACAAACTTATCCTCCTTCCCCACTTTCCCATCCCTGGTCATGAATCATGGACACGGTCTTAGGTACCTTAGGTCAGTAATAAGGGCAACCCCGTGGGAACCCAGGGGCTGGACAACCTCCTGGTGCGCAGACAGCCTAGGGGCCTGGACCGCCTGCCCACGTCATGGGAGACACTTAACAGCATCTGTCCTGTTCACCCTTTTTGTTGAGTTTCTGTTGCATGTGCATTAATATCCTACTTAATGTGTAGAGAGAACAGGGTTTTTCAGGAGTGGGGACTGTGGTCTGCTCTGGAGACGAGTAGAGAGGTGCTGACAGCATCCACCACAGTGTGCTTCTAGGGGCGTTTTCTAAATTAGAGTAAAGGAGTTCTCTCCATCACTGAGCTACAGTTACTAATAGTGTAGCGTGGGGCACACTGCTTATACTGTGTTGTCAGAAAAGTCATGATGTGTTTTTCTATGTTTATCTATGTACAAATGCGTCATGACTTTTCTGACAACCCAATATTAACCTTTCTATAATTCCCAACATCCTCTCCTGAACCCTGAAGTCATAAAAGGAACTCTAACCGGGACCAGCAGATAGCATAATGGCTATGTCATTGGACTCCCATGTAGTCTATCGCAGTTCGAATCCCAGCCCCGGTGACTTAAACTCACACCAGGCACGTGTGCGTGCATGCCCAAGATCCTGAGAGGAGAATGGAGGAGAAAGGATTGTGGCATGGCC